TCAAAAAGTAATTTCAAGATATCTCGATTTTAGTTTTGACTAGTCATAATTCTAATTGTTGATATCTCAAATGCCACCAATCATCAAGATATCTTAAATGTATTTTAGGATAGAAGATATGCAGTTTTGACTGGTGAAAACTAAATTAGAGATATCTTAAAAGCAAATAATGACTAGACAAAACAAATTTAAAGATATCCTGAATTTTAATATCGACTATTCGAAATTCATTTTAATATATCTCTAAGTGAATTAAAGATATCTTGAATTGACATTCTGACTAGTCAAAATGTGTAATGATCTTTTTAATGGGCTTCCAGGAGGATCATTCCTAAAAATTCCTTACTGTCAGTTTGATCCAAAGGAGGAAAAGTTAAATCAGCGTGTGACGCTTTAAATGACAAATCCGGTGACAGAGATATCTTGAAAGGAATTTTGACTGGGCAAAATGTAATTTAAGATAACTTGAATTATTATTCTTTCTAATCAGAATGTAAATTCGTATATCTTAAATTACCATTCTGTATAGTCAAAATGTGGTTTTGTCTAGTCAAAATGTATTTTAAGATATCTGGAACGTAATTATGGATGGTCAGACGAAAACCGAATTTATGTTAAAAAGGCTTGCCATACACAGTCACACATTTCATTATTATTTCAAAACAGCAGAACGATGACAGCAGTCATATTTTTAAACTGATAACAAACTCTTATCTGATAAAAGAAAATAGTGCATTTAGCACAGTTAGTGTTACTGGCTATTAACCTTAACTTCTGTCTGATGATTCTCATCATATCCAAATCCAGCATGTTCCCTGACAGATGCAATTGGATTCACCACAAAGACAAACCAGAGCGTCTCTCAGTAATACATTTAACTTCCTCTTAGTTGAAGTTTTAAAAGAAGTGGCCTGAAGGATCTGCCAAGATGCCTCTGTAGAGAATCTCATTCCTTTCTAAAAGTTACTCACAACTTTATGTCTTCTTTATGTTTTGTTATAAGCTCCTCACTGATATGTTAATTATCTAATCAAATCCTTTCCAACCAACCAGATGCTAAAACTACTGGTCTTCATTTTTTGGTTCTTTAATGGTTGAATTCATCTATAGTGAATATTGGTTAACATATTTTTTACTCTATCTTTACACTTATTGCTCTCTGCTGCAGAGTATATTATTGCTTTTGTTAAACACCCCTAACAAATATACACACATGTATAACATCTTCAACCAGTGGCTATATAACTGCTATAGCACGAAGTCATGTAGGTCCTCATTAAAATTTTCAAAAAAAAGCCTCTGACTGTTATCTGGACAGTAATAAGGAGGTATACTGTATAATGCAGTTGTTTGAGCTGTCAGAACTACAGACTTTTATCTATTCTATGCAGCTATGGGTACTGTAGTCTTCTACGATCATTAGTATGAATGTTTTCATTAAATCTCTTCTCCAAAATACTTTTGACCAAATTTTAAGATAATAAACTAATGAATGAGCATGATAAATATTTTGTGATGGCAACTTGGAACATAAATTAAGGAGTTTGTCAGTAAATCCTTATGTAATGTAACTTCTATTTCTCATTGCTGACAGGTTTTCCCTCTAGCTCTATGAAGGGAAGGATTTTTTTCCTGCACAGTACCCCATGGGCAAGCTTGTTAAAAAGTTTTTTTTTTCCTTTTTTTTTGCAAAACCCACCATTCTGTCACTCAGCTGTCTTCTATTTTATGCAATCAGAATATGGTGGGCATGCTGGGAATGTTAATACAGAGAAAATGTATTCTTGGCCTTTTTTTGCTTCTTAGTTTCCTGCTCACTCATCAACTCT